TTTTCCTTTAGGGGAAAGATATTTTCTTGGTTTCTCATGTTTCTTGTGCCTCTGTGGTTCTTTCTGGTCATTCTGTGACAAAATCTCTCCTCCACAGTGCTTAGCAATGTGGTATCAACAGTAAGATTAGGAGTTCAGATTTATAGAAGGAAATTTCTTCGCTAAAGCAGGAGGTTCAATAAGCGTTGAGGATTTCAATGATTCTAAAGTGATTCAGATGCTTGGCTATTGTGTATCGAGGCCTATCTAGACATTGTGTGGAGAGTGAAGATTAGAGTAAGAAAGTAAGATTTAAAAGTATAAACAAAAAGAAATAAAACTAGAAAAATATTACCAAAAAAATAGAAAAAATGAACTCACCAGGACACACTTCAGCTTTAAAATGGCTTCTGAAATTAACAAGTGAAAGAAAAGGCCCAACCTGAGGAGACGTGTTTGAAAATTTAAAAAAAAAAAAGTTAAAAATTGAAAGGGATAGAGAGTGTCAGACAGAGAGACAGACAGCCAGAAACAGAGAGAAGACAAAGGTCATCCTACCTTGCCTGAATATTTTGGGAGTCCAGGAGATGGGTTTAGAGCATAGCTTTCTTGAACGCACCAGGACACACCCCAGCTTTAAAATGTCTTCTTGTCTCTCAGAACATCCCAAATTTCTAAATCAGTCTTACAAAATGGGTTTCAATCCTTAAAAGCCCTATTTCAATTTACATTGGACCTGATTAACTATTTTAATGTAGGGCTGTGGGGAAGGTATATGTGATCCCATTTTTTAAAGCAAATTTATTACCAAGGCCAAAGACTTAATTTATTACCCACTGAAAGCATCCATGCTTACTACATGATATTTTAGTGCAATGGGTTCTACAATCATCAGGAATTTAGGTAAGGCAATTGTTTTGATAATTAAAGCAACACATTTGTCTTCTATTTTATGTTCAGTAACTCCCCTAAGATTATTGGGAGCAGGTTGTTCAAATATAAAAAGATCCCCAGGTAGTGCTGGCTCTGTGGCCTAGTGGTTAATGCAGTTGGATCCCATGTGGTCAGCCATGTAGTTTGGGTACTGGACCCAGTGGCTTGAGAATTTTGTTGGGCTTGTGTGCATGCATGCCCAAAATCCCAGAAAGAGGGGGAAATGGACAAGAAGGACTGCAGCATGACCATTCCCCATGGGAGGGTTGCTTTCTCCTCTCTCTGTCTCTCTATATCTCTCTGATGAGTACATGAATACTCAAAAAAAAAAAAGGAAACAAGCACAAAAAAGGGTTCCCAGGTATTACTGTAATTTGATCCAAGTATTTTTATAATGCTAGAAATTATGTACATGTGCACAAGAAAGAAAGAAAGCACCACACCCCACCCCCATTGGGCCCTGGTCATGCTGCAAACCCCTTTCCTCCAATTCTCTATACCATCAGTATAGCCCCTACAGGGCTGGGACTCAAATCTCATTCAGCCATGTGGGATCCAGCTTCCTCTGCATAGTGCGTAACTGCTGCACTACAGGATTGGTCCTGAACCCAAGTCTTTATTAAGACTGTGAAGGTTTGCCAATTGATACATTTCAAAAGATATTAAAGTTAATTTAGAAGTTATATTGTAGAATTGCAAAAGCAATTCAGCACACATTTATCTCTCATTTTATGAATTCTCTAAATAAACATTGGATTTCCAATAGGATCAAACTGGGGGCCTCTCTTTTGGTATTTTTGTTTCCTCCTCTGTATCCAAGTTCCCTCCTGCCTGTCTTTCTGTCTGTCTGTCTGTCTGTCTTTTCTTTCCTTCTTTTTTTTTTTAATTTTGGATTAGTGAATATACTTTGGGGAGCTTCTCTCTACCCTACTTGTATTTATAAATTAGTTTAAAGCCAGCCTCATAGCCTAGTGGTTAAGGAGGACAGATCCCACATGGCTAACTATGGTTCAAATCCTGGTCCCAGCAGCTAAGAAAAGTTTCAGGCTTGTGTGCATGTGTGCCCAGAATCCCAACAGATATATATATATAGAGAGAGGAAGAGAGCATACATGCCGTCTGGCAATTAAAAAAATTTAAAATATATATGAATTTCTTTCTTCAGAGAACTTTGAATCATATACCTTGGGAACCTCAGGCTTTTCTGTGCCACAGGGGTGTTGTGGATGATTTCTCCTATAACATGAGTCACAGATTATGCTGTAATCAAGACAGGTGATTTATTCTTAGACATACAGATCTCGGCCAAGACATACAACCTAGGTTCATGTTTAGGAGGGTCCCAATCCCATATCCCTGTCCCTAAATGCTAATGAATAATTGGAACATTTTTTTTTAGAGGTTTTTGCTATAGGGCACGAGCAATTGCCAGACAGACAGAAAGAGAGAGACAGACAGAAAGTGAGAAATCACCCTCCCAGGGGGGATGGCCATGCCGCAATCCCTTCTCCTCCATTCTCCTCTTGGGATCTTGGGCGCGCACACACACGCGCCCGGTGTGAGTTTAAGCCGCCGGTTCCAGGACTTGAACTGCAGTCGACTACGTGGGAGTCCAGCAACATAGCCATTACGCTAACTGCTGGCCCCTATATATATATTTTTGAGAGAGGATTTTTGCTATAGGGCACGTGTTCTTGCCAGAGAGACAAAGAGAGACAGAGAGACAGAAAGTGAGAAATCACCCCCCAGGGGAATGGCCATGCCACAGTCCCTTCTCCATTCTCCTGTTGGAATTTTGGGCCCGCACACACACACATCCAGCATGAGTTTTAAGTTGCTGGGTCCAGAACTCAAACTGCAGTTGACTACATGGGAGTACAGCAACGTAACTATTATGCTATCTGTTGGACCCAAAAATTGTATATATTTAAGGTATACAATACCACAAAATATCACAATGTGACATTTTGATATATGCACACATATATCAAAGAAATTACCACAGTCAAACTAATACCCATCACTTTCCGTAGTTAATATTTTTGGTGTGTATGTGTGGAGGGGGTGGTGAAGACACTTAAGATATATTCTTTTAGTGAATTTCAAATATATATTATTTATTAACTATAGTAACCATGATGTACATTAGGTCTCCAGTACTTACTTATCTTAAAACTGACCGTTGGTACCTTTTGACCAATATTTCCCTTTGTCCATCATGCCTTAGTCCCTGGTAACCACTTTTCTATTCTTTCCTATTATGAGTTCAATTTCTTTTTAATATTCCACGTATAACTGAGATATTTCAGTATTTGTCTTTCTGTGTCTGGTGTATTTTGTTTAGCATAAAACTCTCAAGGTTCATCCATGAAGCTGCAAATGGTGAGCTTCTTTTTTAGAAGCTGGATAATATTCTATCGTGTGCATGTGTGCGTGTATTCAAATATCACATTTTCTTTATCCATTCATCTGTTGACAGACACTTTGTTTCCATCTCTTCGCTATTGTGAGTAATGCTGCAAAAAACATGACAGTGCAGATATCTCTTCAAGATACTGGCTTTCTTTTGGATATATACCCAGATATGGGATTGGTGGATCACATGGTAATTCTATTTTTAATTTTTTGCAAAAACTCTATATTAGTTTTTGTAATGACTGTACCAATTTATATTCCCACTAACATTGTGCAAGCGTTCCCCCATCTCCACATCCTTATAACATTTATCTTTTGACTTTTTAAATAGAAAAACAATCCTAAGATTCATATTGAACCATGAAAGACCATGAACAACTAAAACAATCTTAAGAAGAACAAAGCTGGAAGGATGACACTGCTAATTTCAAACTATATTATAAAATAATAGTAATCAAGACCGTATGGTGCTAGCATAAAAACAGACACACAGCCCAGTGGAACAGAATAGAAAATTCAGAAATATATCCACACATATATGGTTAACTGAATTTTGATAAAGTTGCCAAGAATACACATAAATAAGGGAGAGGATAGACTCTTCAGTAAATGGTATTGGGAATATTGTATATCCACATACAAAAAAATGAAATTGGACCCATCTCTTACACAGTACATAAAAATTATTCCAAAATAGATTAGACTTAAACAAATGACCTGAGTGTGGTTTTGATGGTCATTTCCCTAGTGAGTATTGATGCTGATTATTTTTTCATGTGTTACTGGCCTCTTTTAAAAAATGCCTGTTTAGATTATCTGCACATCTTTAAGGGTTGTCTTTTGGTTCTTTATTAGATGTCTCTTTTGCAAATATTCTTTCCATTCTCAAATATTCTTTCCATTCTATGGGTTGTATTTTCTCTTTTCTGATGGTGTGATTCAAAAGTTTTAAATTTTGATGAAGCTTGATTTATCTATTTTTGTTTTCTCACTCGTGCTTTTCGTGTATTATTTAAGAAACTATTGGTCAGCCATGGTGTCTCAGTAGTAAAGCAGTGCTCCATAATGTTGCCTCATGAGAAGGTCCTGGGTTCATATCCTGAAGTTTCATTGTACACACAGGACATACACACAGGGTCCCCAAGCATGTACCTATGATCCTAGTGGGTTGAGGTTGGGTTAGACCATGGCACAAAGGCCATGTTTGGGGTGCCTGTCTCTGTATCTCTCTCAGAAGAAGTAAATAAATAAATGTAAAGAAGAAAACCACTGTTTAATCCAAGCTCATAAATATTTATATCTATATTTTCATCTAAGAATTTTAAAGCTTTTTCCTGTCTGTGTGCATGTGTGTGTGTATGCATGTGCAAAAATGTGTGTGGTGATTTAGATAGTCTTTTTAAAAATATTTATTTATTTTTATTCATTCATTCATTTTAATTTGACCAGAGAGAGACACAGAGAGAGCGAGAGAGGGAAGGGAAGAAAGCAAGCTGCCAGGTCTGGACTCAAACCATGGTCAGCCATGTGGGAGTCCAGCACCTTTACCACCATGCCACCTGCTGGTCCCGATAGTGTCTTGTTATGTCATGATCCTCCTGCTTTGGCTTCCCAAGTAGCTAGGCCTATAGGAGCACACCACTGTGCCCAGTTTTTAGGGTAGGTTGGGAATGAAAAATATGGAGCACTTCACAGATTTGCATGTCATCCTTGAGTAGTGGCCATATTAATCTTCTCTGCATTGTTCCAATATTGCATATGTGCTGGTGAAGCAAGCACAGAGTTTTATAGTTTTAAAAAATCTTACCTTTAGAGCTTTGATCCATGTTTGGTTAATTTTTGTATGTAGTATGAAGTAGGGGTCCAAATTTATTCATTTGTATGGCGATTTTCTCAGAACCATTTGTAGGAGAGAGTATTCTTTGACTGTTTTTTCTTTTCTTTAAAAAAATTGCTAGAGAATATATGTACTTGGGGGAGGGAGAGAGAGTTAAAGCACCCTTGGTGGAGTATGATCATGCCACAATCCCTTTTCTCCATTTTTCCATCCCTTTAGGATTTGGAGCATGCAAGCACAGGAACCAAGAGTGTTTTTTAAGCCACCAGGCTGGGATTTGACCTGTGGTCAGCCATGTGGGATCTGGTTCTCTTTGCACAGAGCTTAACTGCTGCACTCTTGGGCTAGCCCTATTCTTTGACTATTGAGTGGTATTAGCACCTATTTCAAAAATTTCCCAGATGTACGAGTTTATATTTGGACTCTGAACTGTATTCTTAGATCCACATGTCTCTCCTGTGACAGTAACACAGTGCTTTAATTACTCTAACTTTACAGTAAGTTTTTAAATGTAAAATTCTGTCTTCTAGTTTTTTGCTCTTTTTCAAGATTGTTTTCACTATTTTGAGTTTCTTCATTTCCAAATTAATTTCAGGATCACCATATCAATTTCACAGGGGAGGAGTGGGCAGGAAAGGCCGTTGGAATTTTGAAAGTATTGCATTAAATTTGTAGATCATTTTGTAAGTATTGGCATTTTAAAAATTAAAGCTTCTAATCCATGAACATAGATATCTTCATTTATCTAGTTCTTTAATGTAACAATGCTATCTATGTAGCTTTCAATGTGCAAGTGTTGCATTTTTTGTCAACATCCTAAGTATTTTGCTATTTTTTGTGATATTTTTGTTAGTTTTTGCTATAGGGTGTGTGCATGAGAGAGAGAGAGAGAGATCACTCCGTGGCAGAGAGATGGTCAAGTCACAATCCCTTCTCCTTCAGTCTCCTCCTGAGCTTTTTTTTTTTTTTTTTTTAAGAGGTTTTTGCTATAGGGCGCATGCGCTCGCCAGACAGATAGAGAGAGACAGAGAGAGAGAAAGTGAGAAATCACCCCCCAGGGGGGATGGCCACGCCGCAATCCCTTCTCCTCCATTCTCCTCTCGGGATCTTGGGCACGCACCCACACGTGCCCGGCATGAGTTTAAGCCACCGGGTCTGGGACTTGAACCAGAGTCGACTACATGGGAGTCCAGCGACATAGCCATTACGCCAACTGCTGGTCCCAACAAAACTTTTTTAAAAATAAAAAAAAATGTTTTTATTACTAGAATATAGAAAGACAACTGATATTTGTATACTGATATTTCATCTTGTGGCCTTGGTAAACTTGTTCATTAGCTCTAATAATCTTTTAATATATTCCTAAGCACTTTCTCTATAGAAGATGGTGTCATCAACTGGAGGACTGAAAGGAGGGAAAGGATATCATCTGTATTTTGCTCTTCATTTATGAACACATTCATTCTTGATGAAAGTCAGAATACTTTTCTGATTCAAGTTACCTGTTTTATGATGTTGTACCATACTCTTCTGGAAGAAAGTATTTTATGCAACATAGAATTCTAATATAGGATTGAATTATAGGATTTTCTTTGGTAAAGACTAAACAGAATAAATCAAGGAGGGTTCTCTCTTTGTCTCCTCCCTATCCACTCTTCCTCTACGTTCCCACTCCTCCTTCTGAGCAAAAGATATCAACAAAATGGTAGGTAGGGTGAAAAGATTGCTCTTTGGAGATCTTTGTAATGTTAATTTTAAAAAAGAGTTTTCTAAAGGTGTAGAATTTGACAAGGCACTGATTGACAAAATGTAGTGGATCTGCTACTTGATATTCATTCACCCTTTCTTGGTAACATCACTTCAGTTTTCCTCAGGGGGATCACCTCTCCCTGACTTTTAATCCAGGTAATTTGAGTAGCAGTGATATCACCTTAAATTCTAGGGGTGGGCATGTGACTCAAGCCTGGATGATCAGAGAGGTTGTTCACAGAGATTGGTTCAGGGATTAGCACAGAATAGAATGCAAGCCAATGTGAGACAAAAAACTTATATAGTTTATTTGAACTTTTGTGAGAGAGAAGCTTTCTTTTCAAGTGCACATTGGTCTTAAAGCATATGGGTCTGGCAGTACTGAAAGCCATTTTGATATCTTGATTTGTGGAGACCGAGAATGAAGTCAGCAGTATGAAGGGCAAATAGAAAGGTAAAGAGACACTGATTCTTCTTCTTCTCTCTCTCTTTTTTTTGAGAGGTTTTTGCTATAGGGCACAGGTGCTCACCAGAAAGAGCCCGGCGTGAGTTTAAGCCACCGAGTCTGAGATTCGAACCGTGGTCAACTACATGGGAGTCCAGCGACATAGCCATTATGCCAACTGCTGGTCCCGAGACACTGGTTCTTAATTACATCTTTAAGTTGCTGAACCTGGCTATGTCTGAAGCTGAACTACACCTGTACTTCTCAGTTATGTAATTTGCTAAAATCCTTTTTGTCTTTAAGTCAATTTGAATGTTTTGTTCATTTTTCTGTTTTTTTTTTTCCTTTTTTTTGGGAGAGATTTTCGCTATAGGGCGCGTGCGCTCGCCAGACAGACAGAGAGAGACATTAGAGACAGAAAGCGAGAAATCACCCCCCAGGGAGGATGGTCACGCTGCAATCCCTTCTCCTCCATTCTCCTCTCGGGATCTTGGGCACGCACGCACACACGCCTGGCGTGAGTTTTAAGTCACCGGGTCCGGGACGTGAACCGCGGTCGACTACGTGGGAGTCCAGCGACATAGCCATTACGCTAACTGCTGGTTCCCCATTTTTCTGTTTTGTCAAATATAAATATAATGATGTTCCAAAGTGATACCAGATTAGAAAAGTTATGAAGGAGAAATTTTGAAAAGGGAATGAATAATAAATAACACAGAGAAAAAAGTTTCTATAATAGGAAAGCCTTTGACCCCACAGATACTCAGCAGAATATGTATTAAGATAAACGTGCCCCTTGGGTAAATTCACTTTACAGGGCAAGTAATGTATATGAACTGAATGTATAAATTAAAATAAAAGAATAATTTAAAAACTGTATTTAAAAAAGGAGGGGGGCCAGCAGGTGGCATAGTGGTTAAGGTGCTGGACTCCCACATGGCCAACCGTGGTTTGAATCCCAGACCTGGTGGCTTGGTTTTCTCACTTTCCTGTGATCTTGCTTCCTCTCTGTCTCTCTCTGGTGAGCTCACATGCCCTGTAGCAAATTAAAAAAAAAAAAAACAAGATTAAGAAAAATTAAATAAATAACTCTTAAAAAAAAAAAAAGGTAAACTTGCTCCAGTTGAGTTAGTTCAGTAGATGGTTCTATCATTGTAGCAGTCTCCAAGGAGTTTGCTTACAAAACTTCCATTCAGTGGCTATGCTAGCTATCTCCTGTTTGCTCCTCCAGATACACCCTCCATCCTTCTCCAGATCCTGCTTTCTTCCTGGAGAGGCTGACCTGAATGGAACATACCAGTAGGCTTCTTTGCCCTCTGGCTGTTGGTTGCATTTGGCCACTAAAAATTACCAGCAGGCAATAAAAGAGACAGAAGAAAATTAAGCCCTTAGCTAGGCTTTCATCAAGCATTTGCAGTTTCTCTTTGGATTTAGGCTTCATATCCCCACCTCAAAGTTTCTGTTAGTGTTCCTCTCCTATAAAAACAAACAGAACAACTCTTAACTTATAACAAGACCTAACCTTGATGAAGAAAGGAAAACTGCTTTGACAAAGCAGTCCTCTGAGAAACTACAGCAAGGAAACTGCAGAAGAAAAACTGTTCTGAAATGAAAACTTATAGTTTCATTCTTGGGCTAAACCCCACGAGGGAAAAGAAAATAAAAATGAGGGGGTAGAAGAAAAACAGTTTTCAGCTAATGAGTTGTCAATCGTCAAGTTTTCCTCCCACATGGTGGCTTGATATTCCTGTGGGGAAATCAGTGGTACAATCTAGAAAGAGGAAATCATACAGTTTTTAACATTTCAATTTATTGTTGTCAGCATCTCCCCAAGACAATATAAATGTTTTCTGCATGAAGATCCCCAGCAGATAGGTGTTTAAGAAAGGTCATTTCAGGATAATGATTTCAGAGGGGCAGAGGGTTAAAAAATCATATCCAGTCTAGATGGACAATACCATGAAGGCATTTGAAAGCAGCATTTCTCACTGATAAGTAAAAATCAAATATGTCACAAAACATGGTATACAAATCCAATCCTATATAGTGGACTATTTAATCAGCTAGAAATGTATTAAACAGAATCTAACTTTGATGAATATAGTATCATACCCAATTCTGTATAATAAAGCTATTTTTCATGTCTAGCTGACAACCCAAACTATCTTAATAATCTTCAATACTTCTTTGAAATTGTGGACACAATGGATTCCATTGAATGAGAAATAGCATATGACAAAAGAGTCATAATTCCTTATCTGTTTAATAGTTAATGTAACTAACAGGATAATGGATGTGTGTTAAATATAGCACCAGCAGCTGAATTCCTGTGAAATCTTAACTGTTTTAACTCAGATTTGACAGATGTTTCAAAATGTTTGGGATCTCATTCATTGATGTTTTTATAAGCTGGCACTTCCTGGTAAGCAGCAGCTCAGAGTAGAAAGAGCACTGGACCTGGAGTCAGATGCAATGCAAGTTGTTTCCTCTAAACGCTCTCTAATATCCTTTCCAGACCTATTCTATTACTTTCGACTACTGAATCTTGATGGTTTGAATGAGGTAATGTTTAAATGGTTTTAAAATGATCTTTCGCGTTTTGCCCTTTTTCTTTGTAAAGGTTAGTTTTGAAAATTCCATTTGTTAAAGAAATGGGTTGGGAGGAGATTGTTTCTTAGTTTTTGTTTGTTTTGCTTTGTTTGTTTGTTTGTTTTGTTGTTTTGTATTTTCCATAGACCTGCTGTTGTGTATCTTCTATCACTTGTTAATAGTGGTCAGTTCCCCTCTACTCTGTCCGTAAGACTTGGAAGGTGTCTGGGAAGGAGATTCCGGAGAGCAACAGCAGTCCTTTCTGCCACAAAGCCAAGAAAAAAACACTATGTTAGGGACTAGATTGGTGTAGTCTGTTTACCCAGCTGGCTTAAATTCCCAAAATTAAAAAGCTTAGAATTTCTTAAGCGAGTTCACATAACCAAATATTGCTTTTATTCTCAGCTTTCTTTCTCCCCAACCCTGCATGTATTGACATCTCCATAACAATGTCTGATCAGTAGAAATCATAAGCCTAAAATCTCCAACATCGATCTCAATATTTTCTCCAAATCTGTTTCTCTCCTGTATTCCCAGTCTAAATCAGAAATATCACCATTTTGCGGGTTCTAGCAAAGCTTAAAACCTTGGCATCCATCTTGACTCCTTCTGTCTCAGTCCCCATTCCCTAGTCTTGTCTCTCTCTAATTTACCCTTAACACTATTGTTACCAAAGTACTCTTCCTAAAATCCAAGTGTGATCACAGAGCTTCCTTGATTAAAATACTTGAAGAAATCTTTTTCCTCTACCGGATAAAATTCAAAGTCCTTTTCGGTCCCTGAATACCTCTCCAGCTCAATACCTCTCGTGCCACTCCCTGTCATTTCTCTGAGTCCTTTCACTCCAGTTTCATGAGCAGCTCACGGTTCCCAAACACACCATGATTTTTTCATGATTCTGGCTTTGCATGTGAAATTTCCTCTGCTACTTTTTCAGCATGAGATAGTTATTCTTCTTCATGTTCTCATAGCATTTCCACATGCTAGTTTTATAATTCTTGTCAAATATATTGTAGTTTATTTCCCATTGGCTTGTTTCACTTTTAGACTGCCAGTTTCCTGTTTAAGGAGAAAGTAAACATTGTAGAGGAAATTCAGACTCTGGATGCTTCTGGGTGGCACTTAAGCTTGCTTTGGACTCTAAAACACTATGCTAGTCTCTAGTGCTTCCCTTCTCTCCTTGTACTAGCCCTCCCTCTGGTGGAGGTGTTAAGAATCAGTGTTAAGGTCACATGGCTGAAGACCAAGTGACCTGGCTGACCCACAACCTGGATAAGTATCTGCCTCATGTCATTTGTGAAGTAAATGTAAAACTAGCTAATGAGCCTATTTTTTTTTCTTTTTTTGGAGAGGTTTTTGCTATAGGGCACGTGTGCTTGCCAGACAGAGAGAGACAGAGAGACAGCAAGAAATCATCCCCCAGAGGGGATGGCCACACTGCAATCCCTTCTCCTCCATTCTCTTCTCGGGATCTTGGGCACGCACGCACACGCGCCCGGCATGAGTTTAAGCCGCCGGGTCTGGGACTCGAACCGTGGTCGACTACATGGGAGTCCAGCAACATAGCCATTATGCTAACTGCTGGTCCCAAGCTTTGGTTTTTGGATAGCCTGGCAGGAGCTTTCTGTCTTGCCATTGTGTTAGTTAGCAGACCCCAATTTCCATCCTCAGAGCTGTAGCTGGGGGTCAACATACCCACCCCTGATGGTCCCAAAGAATATCACACTACTGTCAAACAAAGAGCTCAAAAAAAGTTAGCTAGTGGAGATCTTCTCCCATGTTTTTGCCTCTGTCTAAAGCTGAGACAAACCTGTCTGCAGGAATATTTGCCATTGAATGACTATCCCACAGATCAAGGAATTGAACACCAATCACATCCACATACTCAGTGCTTTCCCCCGTTGCAGTGGACCTCATCTCCCATAAAATCACAGGGAAAGTCTTCATCTCTATCCCAGAACAATATCCAGTTAGTACTGCTTTCTGTCCCAGTTGAAGAAAACCTAGTCTTTGAATCAATATTTAGTTGCCTGTGGGAAGCAGTCAGTTTCTCAAGTACCCCTGGGTATAGAGTTCTCTAGGTATAGCAGTCCTAGCTGTATTCTGGGTTGGTCTGAGTAGAGATTTCCAGGTAAGGGCCCTACCAGGCAGGTAAAAAAAGGTGGGAGAGGAATTAGATTATTAGCCTGGTTGGGAGGAATCTCATCTCTAAAACCAACAAAACTTTAGAAAACTTGAACTTATAATCATTATAGAAATTTTCCTTCATGGCGATCATGAATTTTATCATATACTGTGTTTACACTACAGTGAAACTTGTAGCAGCAAGAATGGGTTTTAGTTTTAAGTGGAGGTAAAGGAAATGAATATAATGTACTGGTCATTAAGACTACCTTTAAAAAAATCAAACAGCTCCCACAATGTCATTTTATACACATGTCAAAGGCAAGGAAAGATGATCTGCTGTTTTAGGTGGTCCATCTGGCTGTATCCTAATCAAGGAAAAAGAATTGAGGTGCTAATAGGGATAACATGAAATAAAACAGAAATGGAACTGGTGAGAGTGGCCCCCTGAAGTTCTTAGGTTTCTATGTTCAGGGTAAAGATTACCCTGCCCACAAAACGATCATTGATGACATCATTTATGATGCCTTTGCCTTTCAGTTGGCACTGCACGGGCACCGCTTGGTTCTTCACCACATCTGTAAAGTGCATTGCCACCAGGGGGGAGGTGTAGTTAACCTGTAGGTGGAAGAACAATGAATTCTAAGTCGAGGAGGTGGTAGGTGGGAAACGATCAGATATTCAGTGCAGGATGGGATAACCTCCTCAAAAGGGAGTTGAGTAAATCCCACGCTGCTTAGTCATAAATGACCAAAACAACTGACAAGCAGTTCTCCCTGCCTTGGAGAAATGACACATTTCTCTCTTAAGTCACTGTCAAGTGTCTGACTGTCCTCTGAGAGAAACCAATTCTGACTCAGTGTGATATGATTTTCTGGATATCAGACCATGAATCAAACCAGAACTATTATCTATCAAACCCCTATGCTGGAGATGAAGCCTTCACTGCTTCAAAGGTTCAAACGGGAATGAACTAAGTATCCTGTTTGGGCAAGATTGAGCACCATGGTAGTAATTTGCTCCTGGTTCTGTCACTAATTAACTATGTAACCTTGGCCTAGGCACTTTCTCTCTCTCTGAACTCCAATTTTCCCATTTGTAAACTGAAGAGTTAGGCCAGATCATATAGAAATTCTTTCCAATATAGAAAGGAGTGTCTTGGTTGGGATCAGAACTCTAGGAGGACTCTGGTTGTGGACAGCAGCTATTTACCCCTCTGTTAATACTTGCTGCTCTCTAGTTCTCATGTGTTCCAGTCAGCCCTTCCTTTGTCTCTGAGCTCTTTCTGACAGCAAAGACTGAAGGGAATTTGGCTTACGTGAGTTAGTTTGCCGTAGTAAGGGTAGTAGCGGAGATCAAAAGAAGCCGACTCTGGGTAGTAATTGATGGATCGGATGTCGTTTTCATCACCTCTCTGTAAGCAAAAGCAGGTATATGTTGGGTGCTGAGTCATACAGTGGGCTGGAGTCTGTGCTAAAGGGAGTTGTCCACCAAGTGAAATCACTGTGCGACCCACAACCAACTGTCCCAGGAAGACCACAAAAGCAGAATGGGGCAGAGCTCAGACCTGGCCTAGTTCCAGAGGAGCATTTCCAAGGAGTGACTGTGCCTCAGCTTTTCAATTCAAAAAATACTGATAGAAGTCCTAGGGTGAGGAGGCCAAAGGTGCTGGCATCTAAGGAATCCAGGCAGAAGGGCTCCAAGGGGCTTATAGTAAGTAGTACTGCTCTGGAAAGAAGGCCTACCACTCTGACCCCCCTTCAAAGAATCATACTGGGCCTTGTACTCAATCTGGAACTTTGGAGCTGAGGCAGGTATAAGAACACGTGCACTAAATCCCATCCCACAACTTGCACACTGCAGGCTTGGTTTTATTCGAAGTCACATCAGGTGCATAGGGACCTGATGCATAGGCACACAGCCTATGGTTCTGCAATTGGCTCACCTAAACTCATGTCTCTGACCACATTCTACATACTGCCTCATTACAGTAGGTAGTCAGGAGGATAAGAACGAGGGACTTGAGTGATGGAAATGATTAAAGTAAACAGATCTATCCTCATCATGTCACATCAGGTAGGAGGCTGCCTATACATTTGGCTTACCTTAAATAGCAGAAGTCTGGAAGATAATACGAACAAATAATACTTCATTCTAGCAAGTCACTTATCTGGGTCATGTGATTATTTCTGTCAATATGCTGTAATTGTTCTTATATAAGCTGAGCTTTCCTCAATTTAGTCTAGTAATTATCTCATCCTGCTCAATTTCCACAAGTGGGTGTGGATTTGACCAGTATTGATTATTATAAAGTATATAGAGACTCTTAATATTTCTTTTTTTTTAAGGTACAGTTCTCAGAAATGTTCAACACAAGATGAAAAATGAACAGCTTCCATTAGGAAACTACACGGAGAATTCAGTCCAATTAATACATTGGTTTAAAACTGAGCTGTTCTTCATGACTTATTTATATATTCTTCTAAAGAGTAATGAACTTTATTTTTTGTTAATGGCTTTTTGGATCAATTCCATTAGTTTGTAGTCATACGTCACATGTATGACTGCTCACATACACACACCTATATGTGAACAGTATACACGGCCTTCCTACCTTGTTCACCTGGCAAACATTGCCTTCCTTCAGCATAGCCACCTCCCAAGTGGAACTGATCTTTCTCTCTTCAAACTCCTCACTGCACTTTTCACAGCACCTGTAATACTTGATTGCCTTGACTTCAGAGACAGAGTCACATTTATCTCAGCACTCCTAACACTTGCTTTATAATAAATGATCAACAAATGTTTGCTGAATATGGGATACTGGATGAATAAATGCTGCCTTTTGCTGTTTTCTGATCTGCCACCATGAAGACTGGAGCTTTGGGCTGTCTTTTTCGTACTGAGAATGGGATTACCTGCCTTCACACATTTGCAAGGCAACTGTCCAGGGCTGGGGTGCAACCGATGTCCTGGAACAGAAGGGAGCTACTGCCTGTTTAAGAAGCAAACCTAAGATCTAGGGCTTTTTCCTACAAAGGAGCTAATTGGTGCAGATGAGATAGGAGTTAATGGTCCCTCCAAGGACAGTTAATTAGCATATTAATGGAGTTCTGTTTATACTTCCCTTGTAGTCATTAGTTATTGCAACACCCAGTGCCACTGGTCATTGCAGCAAAATGTGAAATTCAGTTTTAAAATTGGGGACTAATGACTGTGATGAAAGCTGTTTGTTTAGTTCAAAGAAACAAGTAATTAGAATTAAAAGTGAAAGTGTAAACAGAATGCCAATTAATGACTTGGCACACTGCTGTTCCCTGCTGTGGCCTCCTAAGTTAGGTTCAGTCTTGGGCTTTCACAGGTGCAAATCATGACACACTCACACACTGTACATACAAACACACATGAATTGAATACTTTCTAGCAACAGGGAGTCCTGAAGGCACTAAAGGGAGATGTAGTTATGAAAAGGTTAATCCTTTCCCTAACCTACCATCCATATGTAAATCCCTGGAAGGGATAAACTACCTTTTTCCATAATACAGATGTGCTAACAATGCTTACTCAAAAAAGCACTTTACCTGAACTTTGCAGGAAACCTTCACAGGCTCTCCAAGCTCAGGACGAAAGCCTACAATCTATCAAAAGAAAGCCAGTGTTTTTTGTTTGTTTCGCTCTGTTTAAAAACAGACTTGACAGTGAAAACGAGACTTTTCTAAGCCCCCTTAAGCCATCCTTCTTTGGGTATAAGCTTCATTCCTTTAGCTCTCTAAGAAATGTTACAACAGAAAATGCAAAACCCATCTACAGAGCTGCTCAGTTCAGCTTACTCTTTGCTATATTTGTGCCTGACAGTCACATACAGGGGAAACTGCAGCAAGATAACCCTAAAGATGTGAAACACTTTCTGATTTCAGGAGAGATGTGCCTGGTAAGGCTCTGCCATACCTAAAGCATAGCAAGAGAGAAGGAAAATTTATGTTTTATGATGTAAGAACTGCCCCCAACCATGCCCCCATCCCCATGTGAATTCCCTGTTCCAAACAACTCAGCCCATTCTTTTTTTTTTTTTTTTCTATAGGTTTTGTGCACTTACTGGGGGTGAGGAGAGAGAAAGGAAGTGAGAAATCACCCTCTGGGGGATGACCATGCTGCAATCCCTTCTCCATTCTCCTCTCAGGATTTTGGGCGTGCACATGAGCTGATGTGTTTTTCAAGCTGTCAGGTCCAGCACTTGAACCACAGAGTTAGCCATGTGGAATCCAGCACCTTAACCACCACTCCACCTGCTGGCCCAAGGACCCCATTCCTGACAGAAGCCATCAAGAAGCAGGTTTGGGAGTGGAGGAGAATGACAACAGGGAGTGTTTCGGTAGAAAAAGGAATTAATAGGTTTGTTTTGTTGCTTGTATTTCTGATGCTGGCAGTAAAAAAAAGCTAAACCTGTAGTGTGTGAAGATAGAGCCCAAGGGAAATGGAGCAGCCAAAGCCCTCCTACCCAGCTTATCCAGTTGTCACCAATCAGATAGCAGAGGTTAATATACCCGGTTCATCTTTAGGAGGATACAGGGCTGTCCAGTTGAGTATCCAAAAGTAGGGTCCTCCAGACCAGAGCAGTTCTTCAAGAAAGAGCGCTTAAATTGGCAAGCCTTCTTGTCCTCATCCTCATCACCATCTTGGATGAAATACTGCCCTGGAGGGCAATCTACATTCATTTCCTCTTGAAGACTGTCATTGTAACCTAAAGAATGTGAGAGTGGCAAAAGGTCATATTAAATAGGTGCTAGCAGAAGGCCATATTCTCAGTAATCTTCCCTCGCTGTTTCCTTTCTCAAACTTCCCTGTTTGTCTCTAAAAGTCCACTGCATCTACCCTCAGTTCTGTGACCTGGTATCAGATGTTCAAGGGTCTTCACTGGCAACTTCCTTCTGTGAAGCCTTCTCGGTTCATCGCTTCAGCCCATTTTGATTGCCTGCCCCCTTGCTTATCATTCCCTTGGAACTTCTAGGTATCCATTTCTGGGTCATATGAGTTAGTCATTTTATAGCTTTTCTGTTTTCCATAATTTCTTTTCAGATGTGGTAAACTATAAACTTAAAGAGTAACCTTCCTACTTCTGGGAGAAGAATAGCCACATAGTTGATAGATTGCTTGACCTAGTTAGTCCTGTTAGCCCCAGTCTCCACCTACTCATGTTCTAAGTTGCTCAGTTTGTCAGAGGAGACTATGCACTTATAATCTACCAGAGAAAAAACTCAGAATGTACTGCTGGATCCTCATCTAACAGGTTCTGATCTGGCTTTGATATTATTAAGAGGCAACTGGAAATTTTGAATCTATTTCAGTTATGACTGTATTTTTAATTTTCCTTTGACAAAGCTTTATTCAGTTCGAGGTTTTATTTTAATCTTTCATTTTTTTTTCTGGACAAGAACTGTGCTCAACAAATAGCTTTCTAAATAGAAGCTGCAATCACATGCCCATTGTTTCTCTCAAGGTAGTTCCATTAAAAATAATGTGACACAGGCATGACCCTTATTGCAAAATCTCAGTCCTCATGGAAATGAAACTGATACTCTGAAATGTCTATTTCAGAGATGTGCTCTTTTTAGCAGAACATATTATCTACTCTTAGGAAGGAAACACCCAATGCTTTTCCTAATGTTCTCTGCCTCCAACATCAAGTCCAATGTAGTATTTCTCCATGTATTAGCTTCTCAAAGGGATTTCTTCTGAAGAGATTCTGGCAATGTATTTGCAACAGCTCACAAGCATTTGGAAAGAAAAGAAGACATTGCGCTGGCTATGATGTCTCAAACATCTTTGTAGCCAAAAATGGAACTACATGGATTCACAGAGAACCCAACCCCCCTCATTTTATAGGTGAAGAATCCAAAGCCCCAGACTAATTCAAAATAACACTGAGCATTACTGATATAAAGCTGAATTTCTAACTCCTGGTCGTATAATAGCAGCATAAACTTATGAAAGACAGCAGTTCTTAAACTTTAAACTTCATGCAAATCACCTGTGGATTTTGTTAAAATGCAGACTCTGATTCAACAGGCTTAGGGTGAGGCCTGAGATTCTGCTTTTCTATGAAACTCCCAGTGATGTTCATGCTGCTGGCCCCTGGATAACACTTTCAATACCAAAGACACAAAGAACATGGGTGTGGGTTCAAAGACTGGTTCTACTGCTGGGAATCTTTGATCAAGTTACTTCTTTAAGAGCCTTTGCTTTCTCACTCATAAAACTGAGGATGATTGGCTCTGTAATGCAGGGTTAAAGTTAAAAGACAAAATTTATGCATTTAAATAATACTTCCTGGCACAGATTGTTTTCCTAATTCAGTGCACATTCTACTAGCTACCTTCACCCCTATTTCATCAAGGCCTGGACAACCAAGATAATCTGAGTGACTTTTTCCACCCCACAAGGATTAGATGCAGCAACATAAATCCCACTGGGGGTGCTCCTCAAGATAGCTAAATAAATATAGACCATATGTGTTCTGTGTTTAACCTTAACCAAGTTACTACTTCAGCTTCTACCATGTGGAAGGGCCTCCCACAATGCCATTCATTTATCCCTGAAAATTTCTCTGATGAAGCTAGATAGATATCATGAAAATATGTGGGATCAAAATGTTGCAGTGATTGCCACTCAAAGATTCTTATTCTAATTGTTTTATGGAATGCTATTAAATAAAGATACTTGCTCTCTCTCTTCAAGATATCCCATCTCCAAGACATGAATTCTTCTACCTTGAGAAAGTATAGGAGTCAGGAATCTTCTATCTCTGGAGAACATTCTCCATTTTTCACCACTAGCTCCTCTCCAGTATTATCTTACATAAAGGATCATTACTGAACCTAGGGGATATGCTCAGGACTTAACTAGGTGCTGTTGGATGTTCAAAAAGAGAAAATAAATTCTCTGCCTCAAAGAGTTTATTATCATCTTGGTAGAGAGTTGGCTTATATGCTTCCAAGGCAACATACAATCACACACTAGAGCAGTTTGATTGTATGACAGAGACTGGGGGAATGCAAAGTTAAGGAAAGACCATGATGGGTTGGGGTTAGGAAGACTAAGATTTCTGGGCCAGATGAATGTTTAATTTTGAATTCTCACCAATAACATTTTGGTGTTTTGTTTTGTTTTGTTTTCCATGCTGCGATCCTTTCTCCTACATTCTCCTCTCAGGACTTTGGGCAATCACACACACATACTTGAGAGATGTGTCTCTCAAGCCGCCATGCCTGGGACTCGAACTGCCAAGTTGGCCATGTGGGATCCAGTGCCCTAACCACCACACCACCTGCTGGCCCACACCCATCACCTTTCAAAAGAACTTTCCACCATTCAGAGGAACTTACCCTGAAGAAAACCATTTAGGCTAATCACATAATGCTGCCAAGTATCAGGTTCAGAAACATTGAAGTTGAAGTTAAGACTATGGGCGAAGGGTCTGATCATAACGCCTGGCAATAAAAACAGACTTTGGATAGATTAGCGCATTCTCGTTTTTTTTTTTCCCCCTTTTGTATCAATTCCCATGAAACCACCACCCACCCCCACAATCAAAATGAAAAGGACCATAATTTGCCAAGTACCATTTTACTTTTACTCTTAATAATTGAATCTCTAAGTCATTCTCAGGAAGAGCCAAAGTTAATTGAGGCTGAACATGCTGTGCAGGCAGATTTCTGTCCAGCAAGTTCTGACAACACAGGGCATTTGGGCACACTCACCAGGAGACTTCGCTTGCTCAGTGAAGGTCGGTATGTAAGGACTGATGGTCAGAAATAGCATGTACATGCAGAGGGTGATCACAGCAGCCAGGGAAGCATAGAAGAAGAAATACATGACCAAGATCAGGCCTGTAGAACAATCAAAGATGAGCATGGTCAGTGCTTGCCAACAAGCCCTGCCTCCCCACTTTAACTCACACACCAGAACCAAACCCAAAAACGAGGTGGCTTCCCCCCCCCCTAGATTCGGTATATCCTTGCTCATTCATATTTCACCAATATGGAATTGGTGAAGATTATTCAGGAGTCTGATTGCAGTTTACCTTTACAGTATCTCTAATGGAAAGGCTTGCTGAGCGAATGATGACTGTAAACAAGATTACAGTGGAGTGCAGTTTAAAGCCTTGCAGAGGGCAAATTGCTTGAGAGTCCTCTGGGCAATGGTTGATGTCTTCCTAAGTACAAATTTTTATTTGCTATTCATTAAAGCAGGTGCCCTGAAGAGACCTAGCAGCTTGGTTCCAGTGATTATATGTATTTGTAAGTGACGACAGAAACAGCATTTCTTTTCGCATAGTCTATAATTCAAACTTTTGATTAATTACCACTGGACTTGCCTATAATCAAGGCAAAGGGAGGTTTTATCCTACTTATTTTGAATCTTATTCAACTTTATCAAAGTGTGAGTGGCTCTGGTTTTCAAAGAGAACACTAACACAGGGTGGAGAAAGGAGGAGGAAGCAGTGCTTAATCACTGATACTGGGTGCCTAAGACTATAGGCAAGTTACAGAACTCTGTTACCTCTGATTCCTGGGTAGAAGTTTAGTATTTATCTCATATCCTCATCTATATCCCTAACAATACCTGAAATTCAGCCTTTCTTTATGTCCTATCCTGACTATATCAGTTCTTAGCTGTTTAATCTTGGACATGCTGTTTGCCTCCCTGGGCTTCACTTCTCCTCATCTGTAAAATAAGGACAAAAACAGTACTTAACTTCTTAGCATTGACTATGCACATAAACAACATAGCACAGGGCCTGGCAGATACTAAGTGCTTTATAAATGGCAGACATCATCATTGCTATTATTAACATTACTATTATTACTATAGGACCAGAAGCATAGCTGTGTAAATTCACTCTCTATGGGCTGTATTAGCATTAGGTTTGCCCCAGGATGAGGCAACAGGGTGAGGTGAACGAGCATGAGAGTACTGCTGAGAGGCTCTTTTCAAGCCTTCCTTGAAGCTCTGCCAGGCAATGTTATTTGGCTCCACTTGCAGCAATGACATGATATTGGAACTAAGATTTTAACTGAATCATAAACTAGAAACTAGAACAAAGCACTTAACTTTGCTGTACCCCAAACTGAATCCAAATACTAATTTTTAACTTGAACCATGAATCAAAAAAAAAAAAAAAAATCAACTAAAAAAATTTTAAGAGAATGAATGAAAAAGAAAAAATAGGAGTGGAGGAAGGGAGAAAAAGATCCATAGTGATCCAACTGGAAATGGAACCGACTCTATGTTTTATATGATGAACATTAGCACGTTGATTCAGGTGGAGTCCCTGGGGAAGAAACAATGGCACCTGTGTACCTGTGATACTTGGCTGTTGCCCTTTGGCTATCATAATGCTATGTATTCTGTGCTTCCTCCTCTATTCCTGCATCCCTATCCCAGGAATGAATCAATAGTTGGAGCCATCCTGGGGTATATCAAAAAACTCAGTTTCATGGATGCGGAGAAAGTGATGGAATGCAGGAACAATTCCTTGGAGATATTTTCCTTCTTTCCTAGGAGATGTGTGGCAGGAAACTGTAGATGGGAGAATAGCACTAGCAATGAATCCCTTCAGCCTCACTCAGGAGTGAGTGCCCTGAAGTTTATAATAGATTGTCTCAGCCAGGCTCCAGGTCAAACCAAACACGGCCCCTACCCAAACACATTGATTTCTCCAATTCTCTCTGTCCCAGATGTCCAAGTTTCTTGGGCCCCCTCCTCTTGATAATCTATAGTTCTCTCCTGAATACCCTACCCAAGCTCAGATAGACCATTAAGTGCCCATGCTCCCAACTCTTCACTCCTCCCACCAAAATGTCCCATTAGGTCCTGAGGCCCTACCCACCAGGCCCTTGCTTGTTGTTAAACATACGGTGCAGTGTTCTGGCAACAGAATGGACTCTGACGTTCATCCAACCTGTGTCTGAATCCCAGCACTGCAATTTAGTAGCTGCGTGACTTTAGACAAGTTACTTACCCTCTCTAAGTCTCAGTTTCTGCATCTGTAAAATGGGGATAATAATATTACTACCTCATATGGTTCTTGTCAGTATCCAATAAAATAACATATAGTTCCTAAAAGTAGGGGTTGCCTAGCTACCAAAGGAAAAGCCCAAAGTATATAAACAGGCTTGGCAAATATGATGGGCATGCTGATGTCTAGGTTGGGGCAGGATTAGATAGTACTCAGCTGGGCACCTAGCTCTTACAGAAGAGGCCAGGAAGCATGTGCATTATGGCCTACACATTAACATTGCAATTTGCTCTTACTCTTTGCCCAGGAGTACCCCAACAGAAGACGCCTGGATTTTTGCACTCTCCTTAAACCTGCTACCCAGGGTACTGGCTATGCCCTACCATGCAGTGTTCCCACTGCCATATCTCCTCTGGACATTTGAATCTTCCTCCCTTCTCCCCACTTATTAGCCTATGTATTGTCTTCATTGGGAGAAATTTGGATTAGCTCATTTAGTTAAGTTCCAATAGCTAGCTGTTTAGGGGTTAATGCATGGCTCCCCCTCCCAGAATTACAATTGCATTTTACAAAGGCTATTTTTCTAGTCCTCTTTTAGACAAGAGAGAAACAGCTGTGTCCCTTTAGAGCCCCAGTGAGTCTCCAGCATTTGTCTGTATCTTCCAGAATGTTGGAATGTCCTTTAAATGGTACATTTGTTCCAGTTAAAAGTTCGAGGCATAGGCAGGGGTGGGGTTGGGAACTGAGGAAGGATGAAGGGAAATGGGTATTATTCAGAGTCCCACATGTGCTATACCTAATTCCAGGAAGCAGGGCTGATTGTTTCACCCTTACTGAACTGAATTAGCAACTTTAAGTATAAGGGAGAGAATTTTCAGCCAAAGGGGCCTTTAGAAGATATGACCATCACAACAGTAAAAATAGACAAAGGGGATTACATCAAACTAAAAAGCTTCTACACAGCAAAGGGAACAATCAACAGAATGGTAGAAATATTTGCAAGTTATACATCCAAAAAGGATTAACAACCAGAATATAAAAGGAATTCAAATAGCACATCAACAAAATAATAACAATAATAATCTGATTTTAAAATGGGCTATTGAGATATGAACAGATAGTTCTCAAAAAAAAAAAAAAAACCCACACAAATAGCCAACATTGCTAATCACCAGGGAAATGCAAATTAAAGCCAGTGAGGTACTATCTCACCCTAGTGAGAATGGCTATCATCAAAACACAAAGAATAACAAGTGCTGGCAAGGTTATAGAGAAAGGCAAACTCTAATGCACTGTGGATAGGAATGTGTATTAGTACTATCATGGGTAACAGTGTAGAGTTTCCTCAAAAAATGAAAAAGTCATCTCACTACTGGATATATACACAAAGGAAAACAAATCATTGTATCAGGAGCTATCTGCATACCCATGTTTAATGCAGCACTATTCACAATAGCTAAGATATGGAATCGACCTAAGTGTCCAAAAACTGATGAATGGATAAAGAAATGTGACATATTTACACAACAGGATATTATTCAGCCACACAAAGGATGTAATCCTTCCATTTGTGGCAACATGAACAAAGCTGAGGAAAAAATGCTGAGTGAAATAAACCAGGCCCCCAAATACAAATACTGTATGTTCTCAACTCATTAGTAGAGGCTAAAAGACCTGATTTCATAGAAGCAGAAAGTGAAATGATGGATACCAGAAGCTGGGAAGGAGAAAGGTGAGGAGGGGATTGCGAGAACCTGGTTAACACATACAAGAGAAAACTAAATGTGTGGAATGAGTTCTAGACTACTGGAGCACACTAGAGCAACTATAGCTGGTGACAATCCAATGTATACACCAAAATCGCTAAAAGAGTATTTCAGATGTGTATGACACAAAGTAAATGAGAAATATTTGAGATATGTTTATTGCCCCAATTTGATCATTACATAAATTGTATTTGTACATTGAAAAACCACACTATAACCCCGTGAATATGTTAAACTATCAAATGTCGATTACAGAGTATTAAGAAAGAAAAAGAAATACTATTGAGAAATTCACTAGAAAAGTGTTTTAAGGAGCTTGGATGTGTGTGTGTTTGTGTATGTATTTATACACATGTAAATAATCAGTGTTTTGCTGCTAGGTTCCAGGTTTCTAAATAATTTAGTTAGGCCCAGCCATAGTTGTCATGGGCAGTAAAACAATGTTGTATGGTACTGGAGCTGCATGAGAAGCCTGGGTTCAGAGCCTGGGTTAAACTGAATGTCTACGGTCCTGGCTGGCTAGGAGACTGGAGGCTAGATAACAGCATGGCAAAACTCTGTTAAGGGTCTCTCTCTCTCCCTCAATAAAAAACTTTAAAAATTATATAGCTAAATAAGCATATGAACTAAAACAAATTAAATTCTGCAGCACATTTATCTGCATCTGGTAGTGAAAAATAAACCTGTCTCTATCCTATTTTTATGAAGTACTCTTCTTACCATTTACAATGCTCAAAAATAAGTCAGAGGACATCACACCAGCTAACAGAAAGCTGGTACTCATCTGAAAATAGGAAAAAAAGAAAAAGAAAAAGAAGGCATGGCCATTAAGTTTAGCCACTTGGACTTCCTTGGCACTAGGGGACACATTTCATTCACAGTGTCATAGGGACCAGCAGTTTCCCATGTAGTCAACTGTGGTTCAAGTCCCAGACCCAGTGGCTTAAACCCAAGCCGGGCATGTGTGCGTGCGTGCCCAAGATCTCGAGAGGAGAAGGAATCGCAGCATGGCCATCCTCCCTGGAGGGTGATTTCTCTCTTTCTGTCTCTGTCTCTCTTTCTGTCAAGTGCAAGTGCCCTACAGCAAAAACTCTCCAAAAGAAAAAAATCATTCATAGTGTCATCTATTTATTTTTTCTCCTTTAGATGAACTGAGTTTCAAACCAGCAGCTGCTCCTTTTCTGGGTTGTACAGAGAGTGTGGCAAGTATGAATTCTACCACAAGCTAAATCTTCTGAGGAGAAGGCTCAGCATTAATAGTTTAAGAGATGGGTAGAATCCTGGGAGGGAGATGCTGGAGTAGTTGTGAAGTAATAATGACAACAGCATGTGGTACAAAGATAAAATACTAAGGAGTACAATTCTGCCATTGATTAAGCAATATGGAGGCTCAGCCTTAATCTCTAGTAATGATCCCCTTAAACTTAGTTCCTCTGCATCTACCATGGGAGAGTAAAGCACCCACAAGCTGAGGTTAGGGGGTCTCCTCTGACATTACTAGGTAAAGTGATGAGGCTTTATAAACTCTTGATCAGGCTAGCAGGGACTCAGGTCTCATATCCTAGAAACAGTCTTCTGCAAAGATAATGCCTTCAGCTTGACAATTTTGACACCTTATTGGAGCTACATGCTCATTTTGTGAGAAAGGCAAGACTGGGATTGTTTGCCTTGGTTGGCAGGTGAGGAAATAGGTTCAGAGAGGGTAAATGCTGAGCCTGAGGTCACACAGCCACAGGATAGAAATTTACAGGACTGGAACTTAAAAAAAAAAAATCTTGTGCTTTTCCAATTCATTCTCAGTCCCAGTGGACTTCCATTACACAATAAAGTTTGTTCAGGGACTAGCAGTTTGGTATAATGGCTATGTTGCTGGACTCCCACATTGTCGACCACAGTTTGAGTCCCGGACCCGGTGGCTTAAACTCATGCCGGGCGCATGTGCATGCATGCCCAAGATCCCAGGAGGAGAATGGAGGAGAAGGGATTGTGGCATGGCTACCCTCCCGGGGGGGGATTTCTTGCTTTCTGTTTCTCTGTCTCTGTCTGTCTTTCTGGCAAGCACACGTGTCCTATAGCAAAAACCTCTCCAAAAAATAAAAAATTTATATATAAAAATAAAGTTTGTTCATCCATTTGGAGTTTGTTCTGATGGTATCTGTCCAAAGTCCAGGGATTTCCCTAGGGTTTGGTACCTTTACATGAAATGCTAAGAGACATTGGCAGACAAGCCCATCCAATGTATAGTAAAGAGCCCTCGACACCACGCTAAAAGCAAAGGACACCAGACTGTGGCATGGGAACAATTGGGACTTACTCCAACTCTGACCTGTTCGGGCCAGAGACATCCTTCTCTCCGAATCCCACAGGTATTCATTCATGATCTGCAATTTCTGCCACCAGGCATTGCCTGTGGGTTGAGCCTGACCCTCTTCCTCCTCCTTTTCCTCCTCTTCCTTCCCTTCTTTCTCTTCCTCTTCTTCCTCCTCCATATCAGGAACTATCACCGCCTGGGCCTCTTCCTCTGCTTCCTCCTCTTCATCTGCTAAGTAGTTCTGGTTCACTTCATCCTGGTCATCCTGGAAGAGTGACAAAATAAACCCCCTTTTTGAAAAAAAAAAAATTCCAATGATGCATCCCACCAGCCAAAAATAAATGGAAAGAACTCAATATTTGGAGATACTTTAAATTTCCACTTCCCATGAACATACCCATTGTTATAAGAGGCAAATTTTCTTTCTCTTTGTTCTTTTGGAGGAAATATCTTTCTATGACCCTTCTGGACTCAGTATTCTTTATGTAGAGGTCCAATTTTTATTCTTGGCTTCAGGCATTTGGATTCTTCCCCTAGGACTGCTCATGTCACCACTCTGTCCTGGGACCTTGGCCTCGTATTTAACTTCGGCCTGTCAGGGCAGAGCTGAGCTCACACTGGAAGACAGAGTATAGTCTTAGACATTTATGTCTGTGATGACAAACTCCTAGCCCAAGCCATTTTTGTCTTAACACCCTGTACACTTTTAGCTGCTCAACCTCACCATCCCAACTTGTGTCTAAAAATAGCCTGGGACAGACATCAGGTGGAGAAGCCACCTGCTGTATACCTCCTCAAAACTTAGACTGCCTTCCCAATGGGAACAAGAGGTGGGGTGTTACTTGCTGTTTCTGACTATTGCCCTAGTGGGAATCTCTTTCTGCCTTAAGGCAACTGAAAAGACCACCTGGGATCTGGGATTCTAATGGACATTTTCTTAGTCTTCCCCTGTATCCTAGGCAAAAAAGCCAGGCACACAGTAAATGCTCAGCCCACATTTGTTGATTGATCACAGCTATTTCTTGAGATTTGCAACTGTAGTCTTCTCTGAATGGTTCTAAGAAAATGAACAAAAACATGAAGGATGGATGGAATGAAGGAAGAATAGATAGAAAAGGAAAAGAAAATCACCAGACTTTACCAAGTAGTGTTTCAAATACCTCCCAACCACAGACTAGAGATTTTGTCTTTGCTCTTTGAGGGTTTGCCAAGTCTCACTGCAGCAGCAGAAAATGAAGCCACCCTTTTTTCTCTTTGCTGTGCAACTGTCCAAGTCTGAAGAATGGCAGGGCCTGTGCACCTGTTAGGGTTAAATGTGTCAAATGCTGGAGGCCAGGGACTCCCTGCTGCCCTCTCCCTGCCTGATTCCTCTGAGGCCACTTAGAGGGCACTCAGCTAAAACTGCTTTGGGTGGGAGGTTTAGCAACTTGGATTGTTCGGAATCAGTAAAAGTGATATAGAATGACAAAGCTATACTCTCAGCATTCAGTCTGCCCAGCACTCTCTTGCTCTTGATTATAAGCACCCTTGAATTGCAGTCTAATATATTCTAATGTATAGCTCTATTCACACCCTATGTGAAAACTGACAGGAACCTTTACAATTTGCTTGTCCATCTGAGGCCTAGGGAGGGGACAGGATCTATCTAAGTCAAAGCCATGCAATATGGTTTAGACATGTATAGACTAGCCATGACAGAGTTGATAGTCTCAGAACCTAGGTCTTCTGATATCCTGGACAATGATGTTTCTTCTTTATCACACTGAGCATAATTACCTAGAGGCAACATAACAGATTTTTGAAGCATAATCTTATCTTAGGTTCTGTGTTCCCAAGAGATTTTGGGTGACTCTGACATGAACTCATAGAATAGAGCTTAGAAAAATAAATTTAGGGGCCAGCAGGTGGCATGGTGGTTAAGGGTGCTGGACTCCCACAAGGCCGACTGTGGTTCAAGTCCCAGACCTGGTGACTTGCTTTCTTACTTTCCTTCTTTCTGCCTCTGTTGCTCTGTCCTTCTTTGGTCAAAATAAAATAAATAAATAAAGCATAAAATAAAAATAAATAAATAAAATAAACATCACCCATTACTCAATGCTGAATGGATTAATACATGTTCTTAAATTTCTTTCACTTGTGAGTGAACCTATGTACACATTAAGCCTCTTAAACTATATTATGAATACCCAGGGGGAAGATCCATATTTCCAAACCACTTGATAGTCCTCCACAGTGTGAAGCTTACTGCCAAATGCCCAGTGATAACTACCTGACTTAAAACTCCTGATGCAGGACTCTGGGGTAGTGGGGTGGGGGTGGGTTGCTCTCAAAAAGCTTATTGCTCTAATCTCAGCAATAATGTGTACTAGAGTGGGCAGTAACCATGGCTCCCAGAGAACCTAGTGCACCAGAACATCTCAGAGAATTCAAAGTATATTTCATCATGGAGGAATTTATATTCCCCTGTAGATTTTTTGAACCACTTCCTTTCCTCTCCTGGTTGCCTATGCTGCCTTCTACCTCTGCTCCACAGAGAAGGCAGCTGGCCTTGGATTCAGCCTGATCTTGTTTATAGATATGAGCTCTCACTATAATCCTACTAAAAGTGGCTTGTGGAGAAGCCACCTGCTGTATACCTCCTCAAAACTTAGACTGCCTTCCCAATGGGAACAAGAGGTGGGGTGTTACTTGCTGTTTCTGACTATTGCCCTAGTGGGAATCTCTTTCTGCCTTAAGGCAACTGAAAAGACCACCTGGGATCTGGGATTCTAATGGACATTTTCTTAGTCTTCCCCTGTATCCTAGGCAAAAAAGCCAGGCACACAGTAAATGCTCAGCCCACATTTGTTGATTGATCACAGCTATTTCTTGAGATTTGCAACTGTAGTCTTCTCTGAATGGTTCTAAGAAAATGAACAAAAACATGAAGGATGGATGGAATGAAGGAAGAATAGATAGAAAAGGAAAAGAAAATCACCAGACTTTACCAAGTAGTGTTTCAAATACCTCCCAACCACAGACTAGAGATTTTGTCTTTGCTCTTTGAGGGTTTGCCAAGTCTCACTGCAGCAGCAGAAAATGAAGCCACCCTTTTTTCTCTTTGCTGTGCAACTGTCCAAGTCTGAAGAATGGCAGGGCCTGTGCACCTGTTAGGGTTAAATGTGTCAAATGCTGGAGGCCAGGGACTCCCTGCTGCCCTCTCCCTGCCTGATTCCTCAAAGGCCACTTAGAGGGCACTCAGCTAAAACTGCTTTGGGTGGGAGGTTTAGCAACTTGGATTGTTCGGAATCAGTAAAAGTGATATAGAATGACAAAGCTATACTCTCAGCATTCAGTCTGCCCAGCACTCTCTTGCTCTTGATTATAAGCACCCTTGAATTGCAGTCTAATATATTCTAATGTATAGCTCTATTCACACCCTATGTGAAAACTGACAGGAACCTTTACAATTTGCTTGTCCATCTGAGGCCTAGGGAGGGGACAGGATCTATCTAAGTCAAAGCCATGCAATATGGTTTAGACATGTATAGACTAGCCATGACAGAGTTGATAGTCTCAGAACCTAGGTCTTCTGATATCCTGGACAATGATGTTTCTTCTTTATCACACTGAGCATAATTACCTAGAGGCAACATAACAGATTTTTGAAGCATAATCTTATCTTAGGTTCTGTGTTCCCAAGAGATTTTGGGTGACTCTGACATGAACTCATAGAATAGAGCTTAGAAAAATAAATTTAGGGGCCAGCAGGTGGCATGGTGGTTAAGGGTGCTGGACTCCCACAAGGCCGACTGTGGTTCAAGTCCCAGACCTGGTGACTTGCTTTCTTACTTTCCTTCTTTCTGCCTCTGTTGCTCTGTCCTTCTTTGGTCAAAATAAAATAAATAAATAAAGCATAAAATAAAAATAAATAAATAAAATAAACATCACCCATTACTCAATGCTGAATGGATTAATACATGTTCTTAAATTTCTTTCACTTGTGAGTGAACCTATGTACACATTAAGCCTCTTAAACTATATTATGAATACCCAGGGGGAAGATCCATATTTCCAAACCACTTGATAGTCCTCCACAGTGTGAAGCTTACTGCCAAATGCCCAGTGATAACTACCTGACTTAAAACTCCTGATGCAGGACTCTGGGGTAGTGGGGTGGGGGTGGCTTGCTCTCAAAAAGCTTATTGCTCTAATCTCAGCAATAATGTGTACTAGAGTGGGCAGTAACCATGGCTCCCAGAGAACCTAGTGCACCAGAACATCTCAGAGAATTCAGAGTATATTTCATCATGGAGGAATTTATATTCCCCTGTAGATTTTTTGAACCACTTCCTTTCCTCTCCTGGTTGCCTATGCTGCCTTCTACCTCTGCTCCACAGAGAAGGCAGCTGGCCTTGGATTCAGCCTGATCTTGTTTATAGATATGAGCTCTCACTATAATCCTACTAAAAGTGGCTTGTCAATAAAGCTCCTCCCCACCCCCATAAGAATTGGTCTTCTCAGAGCTAAGGTCTTACACTGCTTAAGCCTTACTTCAGCAACCTCCAATATGTTTTTCCTCTCCCCTGTTTCCAGGTTTAGGTGAACGCTATGTTGTGCAAGAGATGCCTTCCTGAAAAGTTCTTCATTAGTTAAATCCTGCATAAATGCACTTTTGTACAATGACTATAGTTGGCCTTTCAAATGCAGGTTCACATCCACAGATTCAATCAACTGCAGATGGAAATTATTAGGAAAAAAAATAAAACAACCACAACAATGAAAAAATACAAATAAAAAACAATACAATATAACAGCTATTTACATACCACCTACATTGTATTAGGTATTATAAGAATGTATAAACCTATGACTTAAAGTATGTGGTAGATGTGCACAGGTTATATACAAATACAAGGGGTCTTCAAAAAGTTCATAGAAAATGCATCTTACAAAAAAACTATGCATGGATTTTAAAATTTTTTGCACCAAATAAACTCGTACTTTAATTCAATTTTTCCATAAACTTCTTTGGAATTCCCTCATATTATATCATTTTATATAAGAGACCTGAGTGTCTGCAGATTTTAGTATCCATGCTGGTCTCTACAACCACTTCTCCACAGATACTGAGGACCAGCTGTAGTTAACAAAATCCAGTAGAGAATCCTTTGATGATGAGAACCCTTATCCCTAAGGTTCTGTTTTTGTCAGTTTCCTGAGTGGTACAACCTTTATGTGATAGCATGTATGAGTGTGCTTGGATAGGGTAGTGGGTGTGTGCTGAAGCCATTATGTTTCCCAAAAATGGAAGAGACTGAAGGACAGAGGGTGGCTCCATTTTAAGTAATCTAAATATATAAACATATTAAAACACAGTATGATCCAAAGGATAAATTTGTGCCCTACATTGAGTAATACCCTGTAAACATTTGAATTATTGGTTATTTTTTTAAAAAGAGAGATTAGCACATGACTGCACCAAATAATTTTTTTTTAATTTGACCAATATTGTAAAGAGCAAGATCCCCTGATGCATTTAAAATCCAAACCACTTGAAAAATAATTGATATAATACACAATATTTCAAGAACATTGCAAAGAAAAGAAGCCAAGCAAGAGTTATATACACCCTACAGATTGTGACTGCTCTGAGAGCTGGAAGGGGCTTTTGGGGATATTGAAAGAAAGATATAAATCATGGCTAGAAAGTTAAGGGAAGCCCTCTGTAGATTGACACGGGGTTAGAAGAATTAGTGTTTTCTTCTGCTGACTTGTTAGTAGTCTTCACTGAACTTCCTAGTTATATAAGTGGCTACATCCATAAAATGATGAATTAGGCTCAGTTTCCTGTTGGGGCTGAGATCACAGTCCTCTCTGGGGAAGATTTAAGAATACACCCTCCCAAAGTACTAGGTGTGGCATATATCAATGATTTATAGCAAAGTGAATGCAAAGAAACTTTTGGATCAAATAAATTTGTAATGCACCCTGGCAATAACACCAAGTGTGTGTGTGTGTGTGTGTGTGTGTGTGTGCACATGCATGTGTGTGTGTGCACGCACGTGATAGGCAGGGTGGGTGGCAGGCAGAGCAGCAGTGGAAGATCAGGGGTTCGGGAGTTTCAAACTGCAAATACAATGGTAAGAGTACAAGAGTAGAAGTGAGGACACTTGAATTCTCGCTTTGGCTCCTGTGCTAACTTGTAAGTCACTTCTTGCTCTGGGTCTCAGCAGCCTTCTTTATATAATGAGGGGTTCTGAAAAGATGATGTCTAGGATGTCTCTAAGCTCCTATGGAAGAATCTATGATTTTAGCTATGGTTTGGAATTTCTACTTTAGAAAAAGAGCAACTGGATTCTAAGAAACTACCACCCAAAGAGACTGAGCTGGCTGGGTAGGCAGTGGCTTTCATTTCCTCTTCCTTTTCCCTTCTCACTTGGCTAAATTTCTCGCTCTCAGAATGAAACCTTTACTTCCAGATTCCAAAATGTCTGTTTAAATTCTGGACCCCCAGGAAAAAAAGCTATTATTTTCTGATACTTTCTCCTTCTTTTATCTTTGTTCCACAGGAATAGAGGCATCCTCCTTCCGTCCAGCAGTTTAGGGTGCCCTGGGATGCTGGGAGTCACTGCTCCTTCTTGAAACTCTGAGATTCCTAAACTTCGCTGTTTCTGCCCATCTCAAAGAGAGGTAGCCTAAAGCCAAGGTCTACACAACCCCCAACCCACCCATTAAAAAGGGGGCAGCAAAATATTCTGCCCCCACCCTAGGACTCACAAGTCTGTAGCGATAACCGTAAGGAAAGGCCAGAGCCCTTCTGGACCGGAGCTGCCTTCTCATGGCTGTTCAGTGGGTAAAGACACGGCAGAGGCAGGCAAGTGGGTGAGAGTACTGCAGCTTCTGCTGGTACAGGAGACAGTCGGTGCTTGGGACACTTGGCGCCTGGTAAAAGTGAACCCTCTTGGCATGAGCCCTGCCCCAAAATAATCCAACATGCCCCTCTCTCATTGGTTGGCCCCTTCCCTGAATCAAGGGAAAGCCCTTATGGAAAAGCAAGCTCATCATTACAGGGAGGGGGAAATATTCTGGGTCACGAGGATGAGCAACTCACTCCCCTCCTTCATGTGTCTTTCCACCCCTTGCCCTTCTCCAGTCCCTGAGATATGATGGATCCAATTGAAATCTTAGGTCATGTTCTTCTCAACTGAGAGTTGGATATCAGTGTATGCAGGAAGTGGGGTGTGGGTGGGAGTTGAGAGTGAGGGGAGATGGCCAGGAATAACTTGCTTTTTTCATAAGGCTGATCTCATGCAAAAGGATCTAGGGTGTCAGGAAAAGATTCCCTTTGCTTTCCCCCACTCCACACACACATACTCTTAGCTACCTACAATAATCCTTACTTTTGTTAATCCATGAGCTCCTTAAAATGTGAATTAAGATTTCTGATATCAGAGGCCAGTTTCCTACTTTACACTTCCCTGCCTCAAAGACAGTCTTGGACATAAAGAAGCCTTTTTCTAGCCCACATGCCAGAGTGGCCCCATCAGTCACTGCCCCTTGTACACACACCCCTTGGAATCCTGGCCAAATTTCTGTAGCGGTTGAGATCTATATTTATCCGTTAGCATCAGAGCAGGGAACAAGCCAGAACATTGCAGTGTCAGTTTCCCAGACATATATAACTCCTGAAGCCAATGTAAGATCCAACAAAAGAAAAATGAGTAGAAACAGCCAAAAGCATTGGATAGCATTTTTGGTCTGTATTGTCCACCCTACTGGAGCCTTAGTGGCTAGAAATTTGAATGGAGTTTGTGATCCTTCGTTCTCAAATCACTCCCCATTACACCCAGGTGTCTGAAAATGTTGCACATTCTGAGATTCTGGGCATATTCATAACCAAGAAACACAGTACAGTAGCTTAGCTAGTCATAGCTTTAGTCATAACTCTAAGTCTAGGCTATTCTGATGAAAATGGCTTCAATTGTGGTTAATTTTAAATAAGAACTCCATCAACTATAACATTGCTAATCAGATTCCTTCTCTGAAGTGAAAAAGGCTACTTTCAAAAAAGAGAAATGCACCCTCTGTTTGGATTTTAATAAAAGCAAAAGATAGTCCAGAAGATGTCTTGGTATTGGTTGGTGAGTTCTATCTCTTAGACTTTCTCCATTCCAGTCTTTTGTGTGATTCTGATGTTAACTATGAGATTCCTGAGGCCTGTGGAAGCCTCAAAACCAAACAAAGGATAAAGTTAACTGGTCTTATTTCTTATTAAGGCAGAAAGGATAATACAGTCATTTTAGCAATATTTCAAGTCCAAGAGTAGGGAGACAAAAGGAGGTCTGGAGTGTTACAATCTCAGTTAACAAAATATTACATTTTCCAGAATTTCTCATTCGCTAGCATTCTGGGTAACTGGGATGGGGGACTGATATATACAAAATCTGCAAAGTAAATTTGCAATGTATTTTGATTATAGCCCAGGCTGCCTTCTGGAATGCCAGCTGTTGGGGTGGAGGGGAGAGGTAAAATAATCGAATCCTGTAAGATATTAAAGACAGAAATCTGTATGAATTCACACACAAAAGACTCAAAGGAGAAGCTACTTCTACCAATTTTTTTGGGGAAAAAAAAAGGCAATATGCTTAACAGTGAAGCAGAATGGAACCAGAAGCAGCCAGTGGGGCTTCTAATGAAGCAGTGGCTACCAAGGCAAGAGAGAAGGGAGAAAGCAGAGGCTTTGAATATGACAGCAGATTCAAAGGCAAATTACTCAAGTCTCTAAAATGATATGCCCATTCTCTGGGCACAGTGTTAGCAGTTGCTTCTATAAGTGCCCTGTCCTGGCTGCCTACTCTGGTAAAATCACACAATTGATGACAATGGCAACTGGAAACAGAAACAATCAGATGGACTGAGCCTTCCTGTTCCCAAAAGAAGGAAGAAAGGGTAATACCCTTCAGAGAATTTGACTTTACTGCAAGATGGGTTAATCTATGGCATCTTATTCTTATGAGCTATCTGCACAATTATGTGTGTACATGTTGGGAGGAAAGCAATGTGTCCCAGAACTACCAAAGAGTAATTGTGTACTTTTCCTACCCAAGTATTGGCTAGCTCTTCAGGGAAATGCTGGAAGGTCATGGGCTTAAGAAGAGTTCCTTGTCATTTGAGTCACCCGGGCATTGTTAAGTATTTTCTAGAACCCTAGTCCCTTTCTAGCATTAGTGAACTGTGGACTCTGATTAAGCCCTTGAACAAGGAAGCTCCAAGCCAAGCTAGAGTCTGAGGCTGCCCATGAATGCCGCCCAGCACAGGGCGTCCTTCCTAAGTGCATGAAGGAGAACTCACTTGGGACCACAATGATCAGGGAAGGCTTCCCAGGATAGGCGGGGGGTGGGCTGGACCTTGAAGGGCAGTCCTTCTAGCTGGAATAGTTACTGCCTGACTTTTAGGATGCCAGTTCGGTCCTCAGTGCCCAAACTTCCTCCTCCCGAATAGCAAGCCTCTGAGTAGTGGCCAGCAGGAGTAGTCAGCAGGCTCACTGGCTAAGGCCAGAGGGTTTCCTTGACCTGAATGGTCCAGATAATGGCCCCAGATCCCTACTTCACTAGGCTCCAGGAAGAACCCTTAGCGCATCACATTCCTGAGTAGAGTTTCCATCTGTCAAGTACAGTCGTGTGAGAGATGCTTTCATTTTGAGGGACTGAAGGCCATGGGCTTATGACTATAAAATCCTAGACCTCTAGGGAAAAAAATGAAGGCTTGGGAAATTGTGAGGTCCTTGTGGAGATTCAAACCTATTTCCAGTGGCTAAAAGCCACTAATGAGTATAATGCAGACAGGAGACTTCGATTCAAACAAACAACTAATTGGAATTAAGAGAAGTGTGCAGAGGCCCATAATGAATGGATATGCTAATTGGTCTTCTTTGCTAGCCCCTTGGGCTTTGGCTGTGACATAGACTAGCCTATTAGATGCCTGCTCTGTAATAGCTGCTGAACGCTAGGGCCCTTTATTGCTATGGTAACATTGATGTCTAGAATCTAGCTGAGCCCTGGATCTCTTAATTTACTACTCAGGCGGCTACAATTCTTTGGGTGTTATTATTCTTCATGCCCCGGGTGCCAGAGTGGCAGTGAATCATGCTTATTCATCCTCTGCACCGCCCACGGTGTCTTTGAATAAGTCAGGGTGTCTCTTACTGTGTGTGATGAGCAGATTATTAAGTTAGAGCCTATTTCTGCCTTAGCTAGACTGGTGCCTCTCAGAAACCCAATGCACCTCTCTAACCGCTTACTTACCTGCTGCCTCAAATGGCTTTTGGCAAGCAGAGTGATGTCACTGCAGTGGGTCTGCAGTGGCCCAGCCTCCCATCAGCCTTTCCTTGTTTGATGGGCTTGGAGGAGCAGTGCAATATAGCTGGGGCGGCACAGACTGAGGGAATGAACCTTGAAGACACACGCCATTAAAATGGAATAGTCAGAAGGGAGGAGGAGTCATTGCTGAGAGGGTCTTGGCTGGGATCTGTGGTGTTCAAAGTTCTAATCCTTCTAGGATAAGGAGGTTAGACCTGTGTAGAAAATTATCTCCCTTGTTCTGAGTGACTCCAGAAGAATCAAGTAGTCACCAAAGGCAAGAAGGTACAGTGGGGATGGACTTCACTTTATCAGCCCTTTGTTTAAAAAGCTGGTTACAGAGATCAGCTGCCTTTGAAAGTAAGCAGCCTCTCATTGGAGATGTCCAGACATTGGTATCTTGGTATAAAGATACTACAGGCATCCAGTGCCAGAGGGTTAGGAATAGTATGGAGGGTTTTACTAGATGACCTCTTCAGTCTCTTCCAACCTCGAAAGCTTATATGCCTATATACGATGTTGTTTAATTTATCAAGGCATATGCTAAACTTGGGTGAAACTTTATATGTACATGTGCCTGTTCAATAACACATATGCTAAAATTGGGATGATACTCTATACGTGTGTGTCTGTGTCTGCCTTCAGCCATAAATGAAACTTTGCAACAGGTGCAGACATGTTTTCCTAACACCTCTGTCGCTAAGAAATGGGCAACCCAAAATTAAAGATAAATCATGCAATAAATCTCCAAATTACAAATGATTCTTGTGAGCAAGAGATTGGGATTGTTGGTTTCTGTGGTTTGTTTATGTCATTTTGTTGTTTCATTTCAGTACTGAATTTGCAGCATTTTATTGGGCATTCTCATGGAAGGATTGGAAAATTACAGAGAAAACTGCGGGCTACATAAATTTGGAGAACATTTACAAGGATTTTTTTTTTTTCCTGTTTATTGAGAATAGAGGGTGTAGGGTGAGGGTGAGAGTTCTTGAGTAAACTAGATTATAAGAAGTAGAGTTTTTCCCCTGTGACAGGTTGGACAGAGAGTTATAAACCTAAGGACAGTCCATCAAGTGTACCAAGCACAGAAAGGGCTGTTGGGCAACACTGATCTTTTCCACCAAATTCTGCAAATCTGTTAATCAAGCAGCAGCATTTCCCCACACAGAGTACAGCGATATTAATCTAACCCACACCTACTCTAGATTCAGTAAGCACCAGACAGAAATCACAGTGACTCTCAGTTGCCTCTTAAATCAAAGTCATATTTATAAGCAAGAGCTTAAGGTCTCTCCATCAACAACCCTGTTCAGTTACTCACTTGCAAAAAGCCAATTGATTTCTCTGTTGCACCATCTCCCAACTTTGAAAGAAAATAAGGCCAGTGTTCCTTCTTCCTCACTCTCAGGAATGCTGTAGGCCTGGAACTCTTCAGAAAAAAATGGTGACAGAATTCTGAAGTTGACTGGAATTATTGTTTCTTAGGAAGAATATCATAGTGTTTAAAAGTAGGCATTCTACAATTGGAACT